CGAGAGGCACATGGCTCCGCTGCTGCTTCTGCTGGCCAGTGTCGACCCGGCCGAGCTCTTCCCAGCTTCAGCTGCGTGCTGCTCTGGATGGAACAGACCTGCCCAGGTTGGCATCAGCCAGCAGAGGCGGCGGCGGAGCCGCTCAGGACTGGCCAGCACAGGTAGGGGGAAAGTGCAGCTGGCCTCCTGCTGATCCAGCTGGGCTCATCCTGTCCCGAGCGGCTGCTTCTGCTGGCCAGTGTCGACCCGGCCGAGCTCTTCCCAGCTTCAGCTGCGTGCTGCTCTGGATGGAACAGACCTGCCCAGGTTGGCATCAGCCAGCAGAGGCGGCGGCGGAGCCGCTCAGGACTGGCCAGCACAGGTAGGGGGAAAGTGCAGCTGGCCTCCTGCTGATCCAGCTGGGCTCATCCTGTCCCGAGCGGCACATGGCTACTCCTCTTCCCACGCACCGCATTGGCAACGTCAAGCTGACACGGTGCGCATGGGAACCTTGTCCCTTCCCCAGCCCTTCAGCAGCCATTAGAAAGCTGTTGAGGGGCCAGGGGAGGGACAAGGGGTGGGAATGAAAGTAAACAGTGTTTACTTTCGTTTCCTGTCACAGCACCACGGGCCACAGAAAATGGATTGGTGGGCCGCATGTTGGACAAGCTTGCTATAACTAGTTAGCCTTCAGAAAGATCTCAAATCCTGTTTTGTTTTAAACATCTAAAAAAGGAAGAGCTTGATTGCAAACAGATGCAAAAGAAAATATAGACATTTGTTTGTCTTGTCCTCAGTGTTTACACATCTAGCAGTTTCTGTTCTAAAATATTTACCTTGCTATAACTATCATCTCTACAGAATAGAAAGCAAGAGTGAAATCAGCTTACAAATGCCATTTGTGTAAGGAGACTGTGCTAGATAAGATTATTTTTCAATGAAAAAAACCCCCCACAGTCCAAAACAAAAGCCTAAGTGATAAGTGGGATCAAAGGCACTGTCCTTCAGAGGTAGATTATAAATAAGCATCAACACAATTAAGTATTGACATAGCAAATTACATTTGCTAGAAATATCCCATTGTTGGCATCAGTAACACATGGAAAACTAATCATAAAGTTTCTCAAACTAGTCTTTGAATAATGAGAAGAACACTAGTGTCCTATGGTAAAACCGCTGAAAATATATTCACTACTTGCCTAGTATTATTTTTCCTATAAGCACCTGTTCCACTTGCTATAAGGTCACTGGATGACTTAACAAACGAAGATACTCAAGAGGCTCTTTTAAGATAATTTTATACTGTGAAAATGTCTGAGAACTTCCAACTTTGCAGACACCTACTGCAAGGATATCAGTATGACTGATGGTACAAAAACCTATTCCAACTGCCTAGCCTCAGTTATTGGGATTCCTACTAAAGGTACAGTCCCTGGACCACTTCCCAAG